ACAAGATTATCGGATCATGTTCGGGTGCTTTCCGAATAAGATCAGACTCTCCAGTCAATGATGATTCATCTATTTTAAGATCGTTTGATTGAATAAGTACACCGTCGGCAGGTAACAGGTCACCTAAAAATGAAATCTTATTTGGGTGTCTGCTATAAACCCACACCACTTTAAAAAACAACAAAAGTGAGTAAAAGCGCCGGCTAAGATTAGAGACAGTTGGACTGTGTGACTTCCTCAATGGAGGCTAAAGCCCCTAGCTTCTCCAACCATTCGCTTCACTCAGCAGGAACTTAAAGCAGCGCTTCTTCATTTTGAAGCGCCTCGAATCACCTACGCAGAGACATAGCCAATTTTGAGAGATTGTCTTGAAATAATAAAAAACTGTGTTTGGCATCCTTTCAAAGGCTCCCTACATCCATTCCTCAAAGCGGCAGATATTAAAAGATATTCTGATCTTTTCAAAAGCAGATCATTCTACTGAAAAACTGCCCACAGAAACTCTCTGTTGCCTTCGTATGACTGCAATTTCACCAGGCTATGCAAGAAAACTGACATGCGATTTCTATGACAACCAATGTTTCAAAATTTGATTGTCAAGCATTGACTAAATCCCCAACACGCGAATGCCACACAACATTCTGGTTCCTTCAGAATGAAAAGGGCACGCCAAAAGAAATGAACTGAGTTGGAAACATGGTAAGAAAACAACAACAAGTAAAATCAAATTCATGAACTGAAGAAAATACCGTATTTAATCTGAGCAACATCTCCAACGACCAGCTCGTTGACAACAACCTGAATCGATTGACCTCCTCGAATGACGGAGAACTTGTGTTCTGTCTCGATTTTTGCTTGGAGTCCTTAAATTAAATTCACATAAAATATCATTGTAATATTATTTCACCACCATCTTTCACCACAAGTACTTACCTCTGAATTGACGTTCCTTTGTGTAATCATTGAGAGCCGTCACCAGAACAACTACGATAACTGATATCAAAATTGCAACACCTTCAATCCATCCCGCATCGTGTTCACTGTCATCGACAGCTGCTAAATGAGTTCAGTAACGGATTTTTTGATCGTGAAAATTCCCCTTCGGTCCCCCCGAATGTTTCCTTATCACAGTACTAAAAAACGTCTCGAAATAGCTATGGGAAAAATCAATAACTACTGATAAGTAAAAAGACGCATATCATGAAAACGTGACCAGAAGCAGAGTCATGCACCTCTATGACCGTTGGACCGGCGACCGGCGATTATCAAAGAATTCTAGGCGTTTTATAGTTTCATCGATACTTGATCAGTCAAGTAATGGTTATGAGAGTAAAATCAGGGGCCTCGACATCGGCTGATCAACGTGCTTCACCGGAAAGTATCGATACATCTCAAATTCCGTCGTGATTGTGATATCAGGAGGTTTACGTTTAGGCTATCCCGATCACTTATCAGCACCTCATCACTCGAGCTTTACGATCGCCGTCGATATACATTTGTGGGATCCTTCATGCATTTCAGGATAGGTCACATCTTTTTCTTCATTATTTTTTGAGTCAAAACCCGACTAACCCGCTTCCGCGAGCTGGCATGTGACTTCCCATGAAAATATGTTTCCAGGACACCGCTGCAGTTCCACATATGTTTCGAATACGCTGCAAGGCCAGCGCCATCGTCTTTCAGTATGCGGCTGCACATGGGTGGGCGATTAAAACGGCGGTATCCTTTGAGTTCTTGATCCAAAATCTTTTTAAAGACCAAGTCCCATTCATCACGTGCATCACATCCATTTCACATATTCAGCTACTAGACCCTGATCAAGAGCAGAAGAGAACAGAATAGTTAGTAAAGCTTCCATAATAGCTGCTGGGGTGAGCCAAGCACGCGAGCCCGAGCCTCATGGAAACAGTACGAATGCGAACTGATACTGCACAATAGCCTACATATTAAGTGATCTCTTAAGACACAAAATACGCGTCCCTGTTTGAGCTGAAAATGCACATTTCACAGCCAGCTGCACTTACTTGCAGGGTCTAACCCGCGGGCGATTTCATGCACGGAAGAAGCCACCTCCTAGTCTTTGTCCTTAAGGGGTCTAATCCTGCCAAAGAACGGAATCCGCTTACACCAACTTCGGCCTGGTTGTGCTTCAAGTTTTACAAGGCGAATGAATCGCTGATTTCAAACTGTCGATTGTTTCCCAAACTGATTCGAGCGCTTTACTGTCATTTCCAAACCTAAACAAAAAGGTTCGCCACTGTGCTAAACACTACGCATTCGCGTTCCATAACAACTGTAGCCTATGATATCTCCAGAATTACTGCAATCCTACACTGGATATTCCACTTGAGCTGCATAGTCGTGATCGACTTTAATGCTCCCCTTATCGCGGAATATCCACAACGCTCATTCAATGCCCGTTTTACGAGAAATCATTAGAGTCTGAGGAATGTGCAGTTACGCTAAACGATGGCCATCAGTTTTATGGTAAAGCGTAGTCATCCGTAGACACAGCGGCCATCATGAAAAAAATCTCCGCCCAAAGCTACGGCTTCAGCACCATAAATTTGTCGTGTTTAAACGAGAGCACAGGTGAAAGGATCCATCGATTCAATTAATTATGATTACAAAAAAATGTTTGGAAAATCTAGAAGATCCAGTCTCATTCATATATTCACAACTAACCAGGAAAGGCATTCAACTTCCCATGGAACTTTGAATCGAGACCCTGTATTTCGATAGACCTTCGAGCGTCGATTACTAATATGAAAACTAAAACTGCAAAACGAACTCTCCAATTAAGTTGTGAGCAGTTAAAGTTGGCTAGAAATAAAGCGTATCATATGAATCGTGGTACCGCACAGACATTCGGAGTCGCCATGGAGTAGTGGTAGGTCTCGAAAGATGCAACCCAATGGAAAGAGGATGCATGACCTTCCTGCTGAGAACAAGAGCACTACTACTGCTTCACTGCCACTCTGAAAGCCCGGAAGCTAGCGCGGTCATATGTAATGCTCTACTTCCATCCAATTTTGAAATCCAAACTTCCTTGGCAGGTTCATTTTGCAGTTTTAGTTCCCATTTTTGTGATCAGTGATTGAAGCTCTATCGATATATCTGGGTCTCAATTCGGAATTCCAGGGGAAGTTAAATGCCTTTCCTGGTAAGGGGGGGGAGGGGCAAAAAGTCGTTTTGCCCATGAAGCCATCACCACTTTTCGTCGCACAGGGTGCCGCAATTAATGGAAGTTCTACGGCGAAATTTTCCTTGGATGTACCCCTCCCCATAATCAGAGGCAGGCGCTCTTTCAGTGCCCTACCCCACTCCCATGAGCAAAAGCAGGTCCTCCCTCACTGACCTACAGAGGCCTGCCGAATCGCTCTACCCTGAACCTGCTACATATTTTTTGAATCGATTAACTGATGGACAGCTACCCAGAGGCAGTAACTCTGACTACGCAACACCCATCCGACAAGCGTTTCAGATTAGATCGTAAAGGTCGCAAGTCCGTTGAGGACCTCGTTTAATTCAACCCGCACATCATGTTTCCGTAGAAAATCTTGTGATGTCGTTGGAGTGGAAGGCTACCATGAGGTTTTTTGAAAGATTGAAATGTGCTCTTCGATTTTCAGCAAGGATATTTCGGTCTTGATTTAGAAAAGTGTAACAAATCTGTTTTAAATGCGGAGGAAAATGATTCTTTATTGCCTCCCCCTATGCCCGTCTTTTTAAAAATGAAGTATGGCACCAAAATAAAACCAAGACATTAAATATTTACGTTCAATACTCTCCCCGCCCCCGCTCCCCATCTCAATCCTCTCCCTACTTGACATACTCAACAATTCAATCACTGAATAAATTCACCCTCCTTGAAATTGCCACCTTCATCGGGGTGTCAACTGCGGCCCTTCACTTCGGTAATGCAATTCCTTCCCGCCGTAGCTTCAGCTTCCCAATTCGACACAAAACCCGATGACGGAGTGAACACAACCCGCTTAGCTAACTTTTGGTCACCGATCAGCTCGATCCCCTCACGTACTCACGCGCTGCCTTCCATTTCAAATGATATATTTGGTTACTGCAAGATTTCGACGATATAGCGCATTTTCTACGGTGACTTCTGCTCCAAAATTGGCATTTCTGTTTGCAAAGCGGAGTCCAGCTCAGAAAGTTAGGAAGAACAGCCTAGCCTTTGAAATCACATCTACTCGCGCTCAAATTTGCTCTGAAGTAGCCATAGGAAGGTGAGTGGTGCGCGAACTACTCGTTTATGCACTCCCGAACAATGTGTTCAATGCCTGAGGCAAAGAAGTGAATGGATGATGTCGACAGCGGCACGTCATGCTCAACCAATATGAATGCCACCCTCACCAAACTGAGGGCAATGTTTTGGGGAAAACGGATGGATAATGTGCAATTTGCTCCCGAAATTTTTGATATAAAAGGTTGTGGAATACATAAGCATGACACATTCTCTTTCAGTTTCCTTCGTTTCCAAGCCTCCTTCAATTTCAGCCCCTTACGTGATGTGAACTGGGAAGCCCTCAGAATTCTTCGCAAAGCTCAAGTTCATGCACTTTTTGAGCACGTCGAAAAGGAGCAGTACAATTGAAACTTCTCTGAGAAGAGACCTCTTGAGTAAATTTAAGAATCACTACAATGGCAT